TGCCGTCTGCCCAGAACAGTTTTTCAACGTGGTGTCTGCGCCGTGGCTCAGCAGCAGCCGGCACAAGGAGCCACGACCTCTGTCAGGAAAGAACACACAACTTCTGTCTTTAGCACGCAGCAAAAAGCAGAGAGGTGCAGGTCCAGGCCGAGGCATTTCGCTCAAGGAACTGACATGAGAACGTTGATAGGGAAGCCGAATATGCAACTTAGCGTTTGCCATAGAGGTCATATTGCTGGTGCTTCAAGGGAAGCACAATCTTACCAAGGTCACAGGGAGGCTGCTTGAAACAAGTTGGGCTCTGTCTGTTCTGCAGGGTGGGGAGAGCACGCAAATGCGAAAATCCAAATCTAAGGAAAGGCACCGAGAGGCACTTGGCTTTTGCGGCACAAGAGAATCGGGGGAGTCGACAAATATTCATGCCAAAGAATGCTGTTGGATTGTATGTCAAAAGTAACACACAGCCAACAAAAGAAGCGGCCTTACGTGTCAAACAAGTGCGGGAAGGCATCTTTGAATTGAACGCCGTATTTGAGCTCATGCTCGCCATGGTCAAGTCTGCTTACGTGGGATTTGTCATGCCATGAACGTGGCCGCTCGACAAAGCGTTTTTGGCACAGAGTTCTCCGGCTCTCCAAATTGCAGTACGGGCAAAGAGGGAAACTGAACTTAGTGCCACATCCGTTAAACAAGACAATGTGGAGCAAGCGTCCTGTTGAGTACAAAACAATTGTTGCGCAAAGCACCAGAAGTGGCATCTAGAATTGACGACAGGCATAGCACTTGTTTGATTGATCTCCAGACCCAGCTCGCCTTGGTGCGCTGCCCACATCAGAGCTGTGTCGCGTGTTTTGCTGTGTGCGTCCACATCGGCACGGCCGTCAAGCAGCGCTCGGCACACTGCCTCATGACCTGCGCGCGCTTTGAGGCAAGAATACCCTTGAAGCACAGCACACACGTGGCAAGGGAAGGATCACAACGGCTCAAACGCGATGAGAACCGATGAGAATCGATGGCAACTGAAAAGAAACAATGAGAACACATAACAACGGACGCAAATCGATGAGACTTGCTGAGAATTGATGAAACATGATGAGGAATCGATGAGAATTGATAAGAGTCGATGAGAAACGATGACAACTGATGACAATTGATGAGAATCGATGATAACTGATGAGAATTGATGAGAATCGATGAGAATCGATGAGAATCTATGCATGGCAATAATGGATGAAAAGCGATGGGATAGACGTGACAAGACTTGATGAGAAACGATGAAAATCGATGAGAGTCGGTGACTATGGATGAGAATCGATGAGAACTGATGATAATCAATGAGAAACAATGACTAATGATGAACATCTATGCATGATAACTGATGATAATGGATGAAAAGCTATGAGATGAAATCGATGAGACTTGATGAGAATTGATGAGAAACGACAAAAAATCAATGAGAATCGAAGAAAACCGATGAGAAATGATGAGAATCGATGCATGAGAATTGATGAGGATTGATAAACATCGATGAGACCTGATGAGAATTAATGAGACCTGATGAGAACAAACTGGTTGCTAAGAAATGATCAAGGATGAGAATTGGTGATAACCGATGAGAAATCGATGAAATTCGATGAGAGATCAATGAGAGTCGATGAGAATTGATGAGAACCGATGAGAAATCGATGAGAATCGAAAAGAAATCGATGAGAATCGATGCACGATTTGATGACAGTGCATGCAAATCGATGAGATGAAAATCGATGAGACTTGATGATCATTGATCAGAACCAATGAAAATGAATGAGAAATGATGAGAATCGATGCTGCAGAATCGATGAGAATGGGTGACAATCAATGAGATCAACATAGATGAGACTTGATGAGACTTCATGAGAAATGATGCGAATTGAACGGAATTGCCAAGAGATGAGACAGGATGAGAATTAGTAAGAATTGATGAGAATCGATGAGAAATCGATAAAAATTGATGAGAGATCAATGAGTGTGGATGAGACTTGATGAGAATCCGTGAATTGATGAGAATCAATGAGACATGACGAGAATTGATGAGAAGCAACAAAAAATCGATGCGAATCAATGAGAATCGATAACAACTGATAAGAGTCGATGAGAATTGATGAAAATGGATCAAAATCGATGAGACTTGATGAGAATTGATGAGAAACGACGAAAATCGATGAGAATCGATGAAAACTGATGAGAAATGATGAGAATCGATGCATGAGAATTGATGAGAATTGATCAGAAATCGATGAGAACTGATGAGAATCAATAAGAAACGATGACAACTGCTGATCCGCCGACCCCTCGGCAACGAGGGGAGGTGCACGGGAGGGTGGCTGGCACATGAGCATAACCAAAGATTCATCATCAGCATCATCAGCATCATCAGCATCATCCTCATGATCATCATGACGGTGATCATCAAACTAGGTTGATCCTGCCAGTAGCTTGTCTCATTGTCCTTATCTTTTTGATACACGTGTTGGTGATGCTGCAAAGATTTTAGATCTCACAGCTCAGCATCATCATCATCATTATCATCACCATCAGAACCATGACTACGCATCCTTTGCATCTCAAGTCGGGTCTAACGGCACACTTGAAACGTAGACACAAAAAGACATGGTTGTCATCATCATCATCAACATCAAAGATGTGTAGGCATGATTATCATCATGACTGCTGGTGATGCTGGGGATGCATCATGATGATTATCATCGTGGCTCATCATCATCACTGATGTTGGGGATCATCATCCTCATCATCAGCATCACTACCCTGCATCATCATCATCGTCATCATCATCATCATCATCATCATCATCATCATCATCATCATCATCATCATCATCATCATCATCATCATTCCATCATCATTCCATCATCTGCACCGGGTCCTGCTTACAATTTTGCCAACGCAGGATCCTCCATGAACGACAATTTTGTCCATGCAGCCATCATCATCCTCATCAACATCTGGGCTGCCGGGTCCGGTGTTGACATAGCATCCTTCTCCACTTCAACCATCTGGGGTTGGCGGCAGTCTGATGAAAACTGATGAGAATCGATGAGAAATCGATAAGAAATTCGATGCGAAATGATAAGATCGATGAGAATCGATGAGATCGATGCGAATCGATAAGATCGATGATAATCGATGAGAAATCGATGCGAATCGATAAGATCGATGAGAATCGATGAGAAATCGATGCGAATCGATAAGATCGATGAGAATGGATGAGAATCGATGTGAAATCGATGAGAATCGGTGAGAATTGATGACAGCCTGCGATGGCTGCCAGGTGAAGCGCCGTGAGGCCATCTGCCTCTGCTGCATCGATGAGAAGCAGCCGCTCCACGCAGTCCAGGCCTGCCAATGGCATCACTTGCTTTTCGAAAACTGGGACGTCGAGCCTTGGAGCAATTGTCGCACTTGCGAGAGCTGTCCGTGAAAGGCTGCCTATGCGTGAAGCTCTTGCGGCACAACAAGGTTGCATGTCGCCATTGGGCGCTTGAGAAAGGTGTTTAGTAACCTCGCCGCATCATGTCTCTACCTCGCAAAGGCCTGATTCGCTCGGACATCGCAGAATATTCTGGGGCCTTCCGCAAAGTATCAGCCGCCGTTGGCCTCGCAGGGAATGAGCCAAGCGCATGGCAACACTCTAGTCTGCCCAAGCTGTTTCAATTCGCTACAGCAATATACAATCCTCACGAAGCTGGCCTCTCTGACTCCTGATGAACCCGTGCTCTCTTTGGCCTGAGGTGTGCCTGTGCACCCCTGCGTGCATGTCTGCCTGTGTGTGTGTGTGCGCGCGTCTGCTGCCTGTGTGTGTTTGTGTGCTTGTGTTACGCGCTGTGTCTTGTGTGTCTGTCTGTGTGTGTGTGTGTGCGTGTGCGAGTGCGAGTGCTTCTGCTTGTGCGTGTGCGTGTGCGTGTGCGAGTGCGAGTGCGTGTGCGTGTGCGTGTGCGTGTGCGTGTGTGCGTGTGCGTGTGCGTGTGCGTGTGCGTGTGCGTGCGCGTGCGCGTGCGCGTGCGCGTGTGCGTGTGCGTGTGCATGCGCCTGCGCGTGTGCGTGCGTGTGCGCGTGCGCGTGCGTGAGCGTGTGCGTGTGCGTGTTTGTGCGTGTGCGTGTGCGTGTGCGTGTGCGTGTGCGTGTGCGTGTGCGTTTGCGTGTGCGTGCCCGTGTGCGTGTGCGTGTGCGTGTGCGTGTGTGTGTGTGTGTGTGTGGGTGTGTGTGTGTGTGCGTGAGCGTTCGCGAGCGCGTGCGCGTGCTTGCGAGGGACTTGCGCTGGCGAGATTGTGCTCTTGTGCGCCTGAGGGCTCTAGCACACTTGCGCGGGTTTTGGACGCTTGCGTCCTTGCGCTCTTTCACACGCGCACAGGCCTGATCTGCAAGTAGGCATATCTGGAACTGTCAGGCGACGCATCTCGGAATGCGGCTGAAGCTCGAGCTGCCACACTTGGAGTCGTTTGCCTTGCAGCAAGATGCCCAAAACAAACAACCATCTGGCAAAGCTGGCTACCCCCCTTTTTTTCAGCCTGCCTGGCCCACTTCCGCCAGAAACGATGCATAGAGCGACTCCGCGTCCATAGCCCCGACATGAGGAACTATGACCAGCGCCGCAACCAGAAGCGCGGGCGTTTGGCAATAAACCCTGAAAATTGCTTCTTTCTAGATGGGCGGCTCTGTCAAAGTGTGAAGCGTTCGAGCAGAATGGCTTGCTTTTGCGACTTCAAATCACACACCTTGGTGGCACGCATCAATATGTTTATACGTGTATATATATATATATATTTATATATATGCTACCCCCCTTGAAATACTCAGGTTTTTGGCCAGAACTGAGGTTTTTGGCCAGACTGGGGAAAACAAATGCCTTGCGACTCTGAAATGAACTGACTGGACGCTCAACTCCATGCAAATTCCAACCAAGCAGAAGTCCATGCACATGCTAGTTCAGTCTATTTGAAACATATGTTGCAAAGCAACTACGATAAGGACAATAGCCATCTTCTCCAGTTGATTTTTGAAACGCGCAAGAAACTCCAAACGAGTCAACTTGAATTTGGTTTGAACTCGAAAGCGTTTTAGACTGGATATCCTTCCCTTACTTGAATTTCAATACTTGTTATTGGCGATGGTTGAACCAAGTTAGACAAGCAACACACACACACATGGGATCGAACTCCATGTGGTTTGAACCAAGCAAGAACTGAGCCAAGCCAATGCTTGGAACGTGCTTTCAATCATAGATCCTATTCTTGGCATAAATGCTGTAAAACGCAGTGTTTTCAGCATTTGCTCAGATGGTGTTGCCCTGGGTCGAAGATCAAGTACACAAGATTCCACAAACATATGTTTAGAACATCCTCAACCCTGGTCCCCTAAAAACTTGACAGTTTGTTCTAGACTCAGTAAGGCTTTGCCCCCTGCATTGAAGATTGAAGATCTACAATATTTTCTATTGAGAATCTTCCATCCTGGCCAGCCCTCGAGTCCACAAAAACCTGTAAAGATGTCAACAACATTTTTCCCCCCTGGCCAAACGCAGGCAGTGCAAGCACACATCCACAATGTGGTTCTGACAACGTGCACTCCCGGTCTGCCTTTTGGGTTCTTCAAATCCGCACTTAGGGCAATCCAGGATCTGAAGATTGAAGATCTCTGACAACTCTTCCTGAAACTCTCCAAATATGTACTTAGGGCAATCCAGGATGTGCTAGCACGTGCTAGCACATATCAGTTTGTCCTAAGGATGGGTTGAAGATTTCATGCTAGCACATATCAGTTTGTCCTAAGGATGGG